AAATGTTGATGCAACATTTCAGCCAATGTTGACTCAACATTTTTAAATATTGACTCAACATATTTAAATGTTGACTCAACATTTTTGATTGTTGACTCAAAATATTTAGATGTTGGCTCAACATTTTTAAATGTTGACTCAATATTTTTAAATGTTGACTCAACATTTTTAAATGTCGTCTCAACATATTTAAATGTCGAGTCAATATCTAAATATTTTGACTCTATATTTAAAAATATTGATTTAATATTTCAAATTGTTGTTACAACATTTAAAAATGTTTACTCAACGCCCAAAACTTTGAGCTAATTAAAAAATATCGGCTGGAAATTTTTAAAAAAATTACTTCAACATTTAAAAATATTGTCTCAACATTTTAAGATATTTACTCAACATTTATGAATATTACTTTAATACTTGTAAATGACTTTTAATTTGTTATCAATTGTTTAGACTGCTGAGTAAACATTTAAGAAGGCTGTCTCAACATGTTGCTCAGATGTTTAAAAGGTGGACTCAAAATTTGAATAAAACAATATCGGGGTGAAATGTTGATGCAACATTTGAAAACTTGATTCAATATTTCATAACATTTTTATTGCATTTTTGACCTGTCATTTGAAAATATTTTATAAACATCAATAGCTGAGATGTTGACACAAAATTAGAAAATATAGATAACAAAAATTTAGAAATTTTTTCTCAACTCGAAAAAATGATTCTGCAATATTTAGAACTGAAACTGCAACATTTCAAATGTTGACGCAACAGATGGGAATGATGAGACAACATCATGATATGTTGCTTCAACCTTTAAAAATGTTGCTTCAACATTTAAAAATGTTACCTCAATAAAAAATGTTTATCCAATATTAAAAACAGTTGTTTAAATATTCAAATAATTTTCTCAGCGTTTATAATATTGTTTCATCATCAAAGAATTATTCTCAAAATTTAGAAATGTTGCCTCGATATTAAGGATGATGTTTCCACATTGATAATTTAATTTGAAAATAAAATATATATAAATTTTCAATTTTCACTTCGAATATTTTCTATTTTTTTTTTTAGATTGTTTAAATATTGAATATAATGTTTTCCACATTGAAACAGGTTTTTCCCGCCTTAAAAATGTTGCTTCATAATTAAATACATGCTGCTCAGCATAAAAAATGTTGCTTAGATTTTAGAACATGTTGCTTCAAAATTAGAACGTGTTGCGTACACAATTTTTTTTAAACTAGAAATATCTTTTTAATAACGGCAAACTTTCAAATTACAACATTTTCAAATATTTTCACTCCTAAATCTGACAATATTTTATATAAGACAACCTTCAGATCGATGTTGTTTCTCTCCATTCTAAGATAAAAAATAATGTAAACATTATTAGTCCTATCATCCTCCATATCACCACATTTTCTTCTCTAAGAGAACCATATCCTCAAAAGATTAACCCCTGATAGCTTTCCCCCAAAATATGAGATCATCAGAAAAAGAGCAATTAAATACTTATCATTTGGAAGGTATTTCTTTGATAGGCCCATAAAAAAGCATTAGGAAAAGTTCAATATTTAACTTTGTATTAAGAATACATATCACATTCGGTTCATTTTATTTTGACTACTTAACTATTTTGGGTATTATCACACTCTCTGTCTGTTGAATCTTTTCCTAAAAAAATAACGAAACTTAACCTATAACCAAGAGAAATAATAACAAAACTGGCATTGCTCTTTATTTCCAAAAAAAAAATATTGTATCGTTTTTGGGGGAAAATTGTGCTGGGGGTTTTTGAAGAGGTGGAGGAGATGTTTGATATTTTGTTATTATTGAAGACACTTAAGACTTCAAGACCTGTCGGAGAGAAATCGAGAAAGAAGAGACGAGATGTTTCTCCAAAGAAAATATTGAAAAATTATAAATTCTGTAATCGAATATTCCGACTTGCTTTCGATTTTGCTGAAGAATTTTTCAATGTTGCTAACTACTTTAAAAAAGGTTTCCTCATCATCAAAAATGCCACATAAACATTAAATATGTTGCATCAACATTTGAAATGTTTTTACAGCATCCAAAATGTTGCTTCAACATTGTAAAATGTTGCTAAACATTTTTTTTAAATATTCGTCTTATTTTCCGTACTGGATGAATTCCAATAAATTTCTAAACCACAAAACTGCAAAAATTTCCGATTGTATTCATAAGTTGATCTCAGACATCTCATACAAAAATCTGAAGAAATCCTGAGGCATTACCGGAAGCTATGAAATATAATTTTATGGCATTTTAGAGCTTTTGATATGGTTTGCTCATCACCAAAAAATACCATTTAAACATTAAAAATGTTGCATAAACATTTGAAATGTTGCTTCAACATCCAAAATGTTGATTCAACATTAAAAATGTTGCTAATACATGTATTCGTATATTTTCAGTACTGGATCAATTTTAAAAATTTTCCAAACTACCGGATGCATGAAAATCTTCGGATTGCATTCATAAATTGTTCTCAGACATGTCTTACGAAAATCTGAAATATGAAGAAATCCCTATGCGATTTTTGAAATTTCCTAACTTTTTTTTCGATTGGTTTTAAACCGACAACCCCTTTAGAAAATATTTGATGTTTTATTGGGATTCCGACAGTCCTGATGAAATTCGAAAGCTATAAAATATCATTTTATGGCATTTTGATATTTTTAGTATTTGGTTTTTAGAAAGGTTTTCTCTAAATTTTCCAATTTTGGAAAAAATGTCTTCAGACATGTCTTAAGAAACTTTGGTGGAAGTCTGAACTCAACATTTTTTTTCGCTGTTTTTTGAAGCTTTGGGTAAATTTTGAAGAATTTGTGGTATTTTTTGGCATTTTTAATGGAGCTCAGACAAGTTTTAAGAAACTCCGAAGACATTCTTAATTTTGAAATTTTACATAATTCGAAACAGCGTGTGAATCCTATACGTTTGAATCAACTCAGAATATTTTATTTTGGCATTTTTTGAGGCGGTTAATTGGAAATTCGGGTGTGGAAAAAATAACTGTTTGTTGTAACTTTTTTTATTTTATTTTTTTTTTTTTGAGAAATTTTTATCTTTCGTTTTCGTAGACAAGTCTTAAGAAGCCCTGAAGCAAGTCTTATTTTCTAAAATTTCTTGTACTGAGTGAATTTTTAACTATTTCTGTACTTTATATGTGACGGAATGTTGCCGATTTCATTTCTGACTTTTATTCAGACACGTCTTACGAAATTCTGATGAAAATCTAACACTGAAATTTGGCGGAATTCGACATCTTATTTGATTCCTGTTCCTTTCGATTCAACTCGGAATATTTTGGTTAGCATTTTTTAATGGTTATTTGGACCTTCCTCTTAGTTCAGACAATTCTGATGAAATTCGGAGATGAGGAAAAAATAATTTTTGAGTACTTTTTGAAGCTTTTAAATAGTTTTTAGGTATTGTTTAGGAATTTCTGAATAATTTTGGTTAGCACTTTTATATATGGATATTATGATCTTTCTTTTAGTTTAGAAAATTCTGATAAAATTCGGAGATGAGAAAAAATATAACTTTTTAGTACTTTTTGAAGCTTTCAAAGAGTTTTTGGTATTGTTTAGGAATTCAAAAATTAAAATTTTCTCTTATCCATGTTCATACTCTCTCTCTCACTCTCTTTGTTTTTTCTCTCGCTCTATTTTGCTGAATTCGTTCTCTATCGCATGATGGTCTTCTCCTAGACTTTTTAAGAACTTTTAATGCTTATTACAGCCTTGCTCACAATATATGCATTAGTAGTGATACTAGACTCTCTCTCGTCCTGCCAAATCAATGGCAAATGAGAATAGGGAGAGAGAGAATACGTGTGCTTTGTTTATACTTTTTCGTTCGAGGCTGCCCATAGCTGATTTATATTGTTTAGGAATTGCTATCGAATCGATTTTCTCATATCCATAGATGGGCAAGTTGATGTCTCTTATTCTCGTTCAAGAGCGAAACATTAATTAACAGACACAAAACGAATTATTTCAACATTTTTTCTCTCTCTTTCTCTTTATGAATTCCTTCTTTATCTCTCACCGATTTTTTGCAGTACTTTTCGGAATTTTGAATGAATTTCGTAATTGTTTAGGAATTCCTAATTTCTAAGTTTCTTAGTATAAGTTTCTCTTATCCATTTTCAATCTCTCCTACTCACTATTTTCTTCTCTCTCTCTATCTTTGTGAATTCCTTTTTTATCACATGATTGTCGATTTTTTGGAGGTCTTTTTGGAACTGTTAATTAATTTTTATATTATTTAGGAATTGCTAACTTCAAGTTTCTCTAAATCCGTTTTCAAGCTCTCTCACTCACTTTCTCTCTCTCTCTCTCCCTTTATTTGTTTGAATGCTTTATCTATTAGATGATTGTCCTCTCAACGATTTTTTGAAGGACTTTTTGGAATTTTAAAAGAATTTTTATATTGCTATTACAAGTTTCTCCCAATCTCTCTCACTCACTTTCTCTTTCTCTCTCAATTCTTTCTCTACCACATGATGGCCTTTTCTCCAATTTCTTTCGTTATCACATATGTTTTTCTCTCCTTCCTCTTTTTTTCTATTATTATTTTTGGTATGTGCTCCCCATTCCCTCTCTCACTCCCTCTCTCTCTCCCTCTCTCTCTTTTGTTCCCATTTCTCAATTCTCCTGTAAAGTTTTATTTTTCAGCTTCTACTTTAGATATCAACTCTAACTGTGGAATTTTTGTTGTATGTTTTTTAGTGGTTGTTGTTGTTGTTTTCTAGGCCGGGTGAGTGAGTGTTGTAGCTGTTGCTTGGGTGGGTGGGTGTGTGTGTGTGCTTTGATTGGTTGTGGGGGAGAGTGGTGTTGGTGGTGTTTAAAGTAATGTTATGGTTTAATTTGTTGTTGTTTTTGTTGTTATTTATAATAAGCGTGATTAGTTAACAAATTGATTTTTTTTTTCTTGAATGTTGTAGTATTTGTTGTTGGTTTTTCTTTTGCTTTCTTTCTTTCTTTCTAAATTTTGTAAAATTGGTGCTAATTGTCGTAGTTTAGTTTTCTTTTTTTTTTTTCTTTATAAATTTAAATTATTAAATAATTAATTATTGCACATTTAGCTCACAATTAGTTTCGTTTTTTTGTTTTGTTTATCTTAGGGGGGGGGGGCTACTTCCGGGGGCAACGGATTCCTTTTTTGTTTGTTTTCTTATATTTATATAATTATTTTTAATAATTAATATTACTGCTCTTAACTTAAGCTGACTTCAATTGGTTGGTTGGTTTGTTGTTTCTTTTATTTCTTTGTTTTTTTTTCTTTATATATATATAAAAATATTTATATATAATTTTTTAAATATAAGAAGGCGTTGTATTATTCTGTTTGGTTAACGAGCGTCCATTAAACCCAAGTTTTTTTTTTAAATTATTTGAGGATGTTTTTCCAGTTTTTTTTTTTTAAGAAAAGTTTCTTTTTCTGAAGAATTTTTATTTGTTTTCTTTTTGCAGGGGGATTTTTTGTTCTTCTATAATTTAAGTAGTTTGTTGTTTGTGTTCTTTGTAAGTTTAGGTGTTTTTATTTTTTTGGTTTTATGAAAAATGCATAGTTTTCCTTTTTTCTATATTTTTTTCCTATTCTTGTTGTTAAATTAGATTGAGATCATCAGTTGTAATTTACAAAAATAAAATATATATTTTTTTAATTAAAAAAAAAAAACAATAACAATTCTTCGAAAACAAACTTTTCTCTTGGCTTGAGAGAAAATGTTCTCTCTCACTTGGATTTCCTCTTCCTAATTTGTCACCAGAAAATCTATGCAGTATCCCTTTTTTTAATATTTTTGGTTATAAATATTTAAATTAAAAATATTTTTAATTGCAAAAAAAAAAAAAAAAAAAAAACGACTAAGAAAATTCAAGATCATTGTTTATAAAAATTATTTTAAAAAGAAAAAATCACAATCGTGCTGTATTATAATGAAAAACAAAACGTATTTTTGCTGCTGAGAATTTTAGAATTAATTTTTGCTAAAAACTTTTTTTCAATTGTTTTTTTTTTAAATCTCACTCTCTTTTTTAGATTATTTTTCTTCTTTTACTCTTCTCAAAGGTGAAGTTGGCGGAAAGGTGAAGATATATACAAAAGGCGAGAGGCATTCAATGTGTCTGAAATTTGGAACAATTTTAAGATTAGGAAAAATCTTTAGAAGAAAAATTAATTTCGAGGAAATTTTAGGTATTAAGATCCGCGAAAATATTTATCCTAGCCGGTTTTATGGATATAAAATTTAAGTTTTTGGATCTAAAATCTTTACTCCCGATGTTCTTCAGATAATTCTGAAAAATTTCTTTATTATTTTCTTTAGAGAAATGTTCGGAGTGGTCTTTTGGGATGTTTTGAAAAATATTTAGAAATGTTTTTCCTGAAATAGAACGTGTTTTTTTAATGTGAGCAATTTTTGGATTGACGACATGAGACGGCTTACCAAGCCCTCGAATCGAACTTTATATACCTCTCTGGACATTTTTCCAGAGAAAAGTTCGGAGTATACTTTTGGAACATTTTGAAAAATATTCTTTAGGTCTATAATTTTTGCTTCCGATGTTCTTCAGATGATTTTGAAAAAATTCTTTATTATTTTCTCTAGAGAAAAGTACGGAGCGGACTTTTGGGACATTTTGTCAAATATGTAGAAATGTTTCTCCTGAAATAGGATTTTTTTGGATTGAAGACATGAGACGGTTTACCAAGACCTCGAATCGAACTTTATAAACCTCTCTGGACATTTTTTCTCTCCGGAAAATTTTCTTCTCTGGACATTTTTTGTAGAGAAAAATCCGACAAGTTGTACGGAAACTTAACAGCCTTTTTCTCAACGAATTCGAGTTTCTGCTCTAGATATTTTGGAATGATTATTGTAAAGCCCATTTTGTATTGGGTTCCGGGTAGTCCTACCAAACTCAAATATAGATTTGAAAAAAAAAAAATTCTTAGGAAGCTTTGTCTGTCTTTGTGTCTCGAGTGTTAGGTTTTTTTTTTGAGCTCCGGATGCCATTTTTTTAGAAAGTTTTAAGAATAGAAATTGTTGATTTGGTTTTGACATATCCAATGAAATTCCCTGATTTCTTGGGTTTTTTTCGACTTCGAATCACATTCCAAATTGATTTTGATCAAGAGGCGAAGGAGAAAAAAATAGTTGATTGTTCTCCGACATGTCGTACAAAACTCTGAAGAATGTCTGAAATATGAATTCGAAAGAATTTGAAGTTTTTAAGACTTCTCAAGGCATTCCGAATGGATTTTACATAATTTGACAAGAAAATAAAATTTACGATTTTCTTCCGACATGTCTGATTGAAGTCTGACATAGTTCAGAACAACGGACTTGGGAATATTTTGAGATGTTTTCGACTTCGAATCACATCCCAAATTGATTTTATATCAAGTGGCCAACGAGAAAAAATTTGTTGATTGGTCTCAGACATGTCGGACAAAACTCTGAAAATGTCTGAAATATGAATTCGAAAGAATTTGAAGTTTTTAAGACGTCGGAAGACATTTCAAATGGATTTTACATAATTTGACAAGAAAATAAAATTTACGATTTTGTTCCGACATGTCTGATTGAAGTCTGACATAGTTCAGAACAATGAACTGGGGAATTTTTTGAGATGATTTCGACTTGGGATTGCATTTCAAATGGATTTTGTATCATGCGGCAAATGAGAAAAAAATTGTTGATTGTTCTCCGACATGTCGTACAAAATTTGGAAAAATGTCTGAAATATGAATTCAAAAGAAATTGAAGTTTTTAAGACTTCGCAAGGTTTTCCAAATTGATTTTAACTTATTTTACAAAGAAAGCTAAATTGACGATTTTCTTCCGACATGTCTGATTGAAGTCTGACAGAGTTGAGAACAATGCATTTTGGAATATTTTAAGATGATTTCGACTTCGAATCACATTCCAAATTGATTTTGATCAAGCGGCCATCGGGAAAAAATTTGTTGATTGGTCTCAGACATGTCGGACAAAACTCGGAAATCTGAAATATTAATTCCAAAGAATTAAAAGTTTTTAAGACTTCTCAAGGCATTCCAAATGGATTTTACATAATTTGACAAGAAAATAAAATTTACGATTTTGATCCGACATGTCTGAATGAAGTCTGACAGAGTTCAGAACAATGAACTGGGGAATATTTTGAGATGTTTTCGACTTCGGATAACATTTCATATGGATTTTGCTTCATACGGCTAATGAGAAAACATTTTTTGAATATTCTCAGACATGTCGTACAAAACTCTGAAGAATGTCTGAAATATGAATTCAAAAGAATTAAAAGTTTTTAAGACTTCTCAAGGCATTCCAAATGGATTTTACATAATTTGACAAGAAAATAAAATTTACGATTTTGTTCCGACATGTCTGATTGAAGTCTGACAGAGTTCTGAAGAATGAACTGGGGAATATTTTGAGATGTTTTCGACTTCGGGTTATATTTCAAATGGATTTTGCTTCATACGGCATTTGAGAAAATTGTTTTTGATTGTTCTCAGACATGTCGTCCAAAACTCTGTAAAGTGTCTGAAGTATGAATTCGAAAGAATTAAAAGTTTTTAAGACTTCTCAAGACACTCCGAATGGATTTTACATGATTTGACAAGGAAATAAAATTTACGATTTTGTACAGACATGTCTGATTGAAGTCTGACAGAGTTCAGAACAATGATTTGGGGAATATTCTGAGAAGTTTTCGACTTGGGATTGCATTTCAAATGGATTTTGTATCATACAGCAAAAGAGAAAAGCATATTTGATTGTTCTCCGACATGTCGTAGAAAACTCTGAAGAATGTCTGAGTTATGAACTCAAAAGAATTTCAAGTTTTTAAGACTTCGGAAAGCATTTCAATTGGATTTTACTTCATTTGACAAAGAAAACAAAATGGCCGATTTTATTCCGACATGTCTGACTGAAGTCTGACAGAGTTCTGAACGATTGATTAAAGCATTAGAGATCTTGTTTGCGGATTTGTCAATTCTCGGAAGGCATTTTAATTGGGTTTTGCATCATTTGACAAAGAAACAAAATTGACGATTTTCTTCCGACATGTCTGACTGACGTCTGACAGAGTTCTGAACAACAGATTAACAAATTGGGGATTTGTTTGCGGATTTGTCAATTCCCGGAAGCCATTTGGATTGGATTTTACCTGATTTGACAGAGAAAACCAAAGTGACGATTTTGTTCCGACATGTCTGATTAAAGTCTGAGAGAGTTCGCATTAGGGCTTCTGTTTGCAGATTTAGCAATTCTAGGAAGCCATGCAAATTGAATTCCAACTGATTTGACAAAGAAAACAAAATTGACAATTTTGCTCAGACAAGTCTGAAAGAAATCTGACAGATTTCTGAATGACTGGTGAAAAGAATTATTGGGTTTGTTTGCGGATTTGTAAATTCTCATTTTTTTGGTGACGAATTCAATAACAAACAAAATGTTTTCTCTGCTCAGACAAGTCTTACAAAACTCCGACACAGCCCGGAAATATTAGATTTCTTACGGAACTCGTTAAAAGTTAATGGAAAACAAATGGTTGGCCATGTCTTACAAAACTCTGACGAAAGTCTGAGCTATGAACTTGAATAAAATTTCTCAGGTTTTCGAACATTGGAATGCTTTCGAAATGAGTTATGTTTCTATTTGTCAAGGGAAGGAGAAGATAAATCGATTTAAGACATGTCTGATCGAATTCTGACAGAAATCTGGGAAATTGACTAAAACAGACAGGTTCCTTTTATAATTTCACAGTTCTAAATACCTTCGCATTGAGTAACTTAGGGCAAAACAATTGTTTTTAAGATCGGACAGGTTGGATGAAACTCTGAAGAAAATCTGGAAAATTTATCCGGATGGAATTCTCAAAGAACTGATGTTTCTTCGTGATGTTATGAGTACCTTGAAAATGGATTTAGACCCATTCCAAATTGGTTTTTTTTTATCACGTGCCATACCGAAATATATTTTTTTATCGTATTCAGACAAATCGAATAAAATTCTGATAGAATTCTTAGATTCAAAAATTTCCAAATTCTGACAAAATTCTTAAATTCAAAAATTTCCAAATTCTGACAAAATTCTTAAATTCAAAAATTTCCAGATTTTTAATATCTAGATATCGGAAGGAATTCCCAACGTTTTCACATGTCTTAATGCTGAGCGAAAAAAGGTTTAAATTTGGAAATATTTCCACCTCAGACAAATCTAATGGAATTCTGACAGAAATCTGTGTTAAGATTATATTTTTGCTCAGTTTTTTTTTATCAACAATTATTAATTAATTCCGCAAAGACAATTTTTGAACTTTGTTCAGAAAGCTCTATCCGATCTCTGCAAGAATTCTAAATCATTTTTTCACTTCAAATATTTCATTGATGAATCCGGCAGTTCTGCATTATTTCCGAAGTGTGTGTCTAAAGAAAAAAAAATATTCAGAGAGGTCTAATGGAAGTCTCAAAGAGACTAAACTACAAACTCCAAGGAAATTAATTTTGTACCACGGCAAAGTTTGGAAACAAAGATGTTGCTAAAAAATAAAAAGTTTTAAAAAAATCAGAAGAAAATTTTAAATAATTTTAAATTTTGAAAATTTGGTTTTCCAAATTTTCTTTAGATTCTAAACTTGAAATGCCTCGATATAACTTCACCTTTCAAACAACTCTTTCCTCTCTCTCTCTCTCTCTCTCTCTCTCCTCGCCAATTCTCATTAGGCGGTTAATTTTAAAATTCTCTTAATGCAGGCTGCTGTTGTTGTTGCAACTTTTGTTTTTGTTTTAAAATATTGTTGGGATTTAAAAGCTATTCTAGATCGTAACAATGATGCTATGGGCTGTTGTTGCTGTTGTTGTTGTTGCTGTCGTTGTCGTCATCGATTATATCATCGATGTTGATGGGTACGCATGTGCAGCACAAGATTATGTTTATGCTTTGACTTCTTGTGACAAATGGGACACTCAAACTTGGGTTCAACGCCGCACTCGAAACGGACATGTCTATTAAGGCTATGTGGACGTGCATATGAATTGCCGCAACGATCACAGGTGTAGGCGCCACCCCAGGGGGCGGAACCGCCGGCACCTGGACCACCACTACCAGAGCCAACAGTGGCACCAGCACCAGCACCACCGACACCCTGACCACCGACACTGCCACTCATGCCCGCCGCCGAACCACTGGCCGCCGCCGCCGTTGCCGCACTCGAAGGTGTGTGGGGGGCCACAATGGCCGAGGTAGATGGACCGCCACCGCCACTCGTCGAACTGGTATTGAGACCAGTTGAACCGGAACCACCTGCGGACGGACCAGCAGCTCCACCGGTAACCGAGACCACATTCAGCAAACCGCCAGCTACTGGTGTAGCAGCACCGCCACCTCCACCTCCGCTGGTACTACTACTGCTGTAGCGGCGTTTCGGTGATGTGTCACCTCCCGGCCCCGGTGGAAAATTCATAAAGCCATGCGTGGCAGCGTGGGCCTGATGCAGACCATGACCATGGGGTGTCTGGTGCGAAGTTGCCACTGCGGCAATGGTGTGTAAGGCAGCCTGTTGAAATTGTGTAGCCGAGGTCATACCTGTTGAGGTTCCGCTCGCCACTGTCGTACCCGACGCCGATCCGCCAATCATGGCCGCTCCAGCCGACACGGCGGCAGCAGCTGCTGCTGCCTGTACCATCGACACCAAATTCAATTTAAAATGGCTAGATAAACGTAGATCACATGGCTGTTCGCTTTCCATGCCGCCATCGTCGCCATCATCGTCGTCGTCATCGTCTTCGCCTCCGACGTGATGACCCGCTGCAACAGCTGCGGCATGTGGCAATGTATATTTCTCCTCTTCGGCATCGTCGAGATTTGTGCTTGGTTCGAATTTTATCACACCCGAAACGGGAGGGCCAGCAACCATGGCCCCCGCCACTGATGTTGTTGCTGTTGTTAGCGATGGACCTGCCATCGGCAGGGGACTAGTTAAAGGGCTGCGTTTTAGGCGATTGCTATGACGTCTTCGTTGCAAGTAATCAGCGGCAACGCCACCACCAGCTGATCCTAATCTGCCAGGGACATCTAAGGTTGTATGTGTGTGGTGGGGGGCGAAGAATACAACCCGTTAAATGAAAAGAAACATTTTTTTTTGGAGGGGAAAAATAGAAACAAAAAAAAATATTTTGGAAGGAAGAGAAAAGAAAATGAGAAAAAATGTTAATTAGAATTTTTTTCAATAATTTTTCATTATTTTAATAGAATTTTTATAAAAAAAATAAATTAATAAAAAAAACTAAAAGAAAAGTTAAGCATTATCATTTGGGATTGGAATTTGGATACTTGAGAATTAATAGAAATAAAAATGTCAAATTAAATAATATTGGGAAAATTATTTGAATTTATGGAGGAGAATAGAAAACATTGAAACACAAAAATGTTAAAAACAAATTATATGTGTTATATATATAGAGAAATTATTGATATTACCATGGTATTGGTGCACGGTGAGATGAATTTTAAATATAGTATTTTGAATACATGTTTAGTTTGTTTAAATTAATTGAAAAAAAAAATTATATTTTTTAAATATGAAAAAATAAATTATTTTTATAAAAAATATGACATAAAAAATAATAATAAAAAAACGAAAATATATTATAAATATTTTTATATATATATTAAAATAGAATATATTTCTTTAAGTATAATAAAAATAAAAAAATGTAGAATTTAATTAATATTTATATATATATACATATATATATATATATATATATATATATATATATATATATATATATATATATATATATATATATATATATATATATATATATATATATATATATATATATATATATATATATATATATATATATATATATATAAGTTAAAATAATAAATAAGTTAAAAAGTTGAATACCCTCCACCATTTGGAACGAATATGGAAATTTTCAAAATATAAAATCCTTAAAAAATTCTGTTAAAATTTTAAAAATACCGAATATAGCCGTTATATTGTTGGTGTCTAGGACGTGGACCTACATGGGCATTGTTTGTCATAAGTCATTTCCATATTCAAATTCGAAACTTGAAAAAAAAACGGTAAATAATGTAGCTAAAATCATCAAAATATCGTATATGGGGAGGTAGCGTAATATCGGAGCTGTGCGAAGACCTGAACCAGCATAGACAATTTTCTGTCATAGGCTGTATCGTCCATTACGAACTTGAAATACGACATCTCAAACAATTTCGGTGGGTATTGTAACTAAACTCGTCAAAATACCGAATATCGGGAGGTACCGTTATATGGGGGATATACGAAGACCTGAACCTGCACAGACAATTTTCTGTCACAGACTGTAGTTCCCATTACGAGCTCTAAATACGTAATTTGAAACAATTCCGGTGAATAATGTCGCTAAAATCATCAAAATACCGAATATCGGAAGGTACCGTTATATGGAGGCTATACGAAGACATGGACCTGCACAGACAATTTTCTGTCTTAGGCTGTAGTATCTATTTCGAACATCAAATACCAAATTTGAAACAATTCCGGTGAATAATTACGCTAAAATCATTAAAATACCGAATATCGGGAGGTACTGTTCTATGGGGGCTATACGAATACGTGGACCTGCACAAACAGTTTTCTGTCTTAGGCTACAGTATCTATTACGAACTTCAAATACCAAATTTGAAACAATTCCGGAGAATAGTGATGTCGCTAAAATCATCAAAATACCGAATATAGGGAGGTACCGTTATATGGGGGCTATACGAAGACATGGACCTGCACAGACAGTTTTCTGTCTTAGGCTGTAGTATTTATTTCGAACATCAAATACCAAATTTGAAACAATTCCGGTGAATAATGATGTCGCTAAAATCATTAAAATACCAAATATCGGGAGGTACTGTTATATGGGGCTATATGAAAATGTGGACCTATACCTGGCCCATTTTCAATACCTAAAGTCTTGCTGACATAATATACATTTGGGTAAAATTTTATCAATCTACTTTAATTTGTTCGGAAGCTGGAGTGATTTCCACAGACGAAGAGACGGATAGTCGGACGGACATCGCTAAATCGACATAGAATTTTTTGCTGATCAAGAATATATATACTTTGTGGGGTCTACAATGTATATTTTGCGAGGTGTTATAAACGGAATGACAAACTTAATATACCTTCCATACTATGGTGGAGGGTATAAAAATAATAATATTAATAGACATAATAATAATAATAATAATAATAATAATAATAATAATAATAATAATAATAATAATAATAATAATAATAATAATAATAATAATATAATAATAATAATAATAATAATAATAATAATAATAATAATAATAATAATAATAATAATAATAATAATAATAATAATAATAATAATAATAATAATAATAATAATAATAATAATAATAATAATAATAATAATAATAATAATAATAATATAATAATAATAATAATAATAATAATAATAATAATAATAATAATAATATAATAATAATAATAATAATAATAATAATAATAATAATAATAATAATAATAATAATAATATAATAATAATAATAATAATAATGATAATAATAATAATAATAATAATAATAATAATAATAATAATAATAATAATAATAATAATAATAATAATAATAATAATAATAATAATAATAAAATAATAATAATAATAATAATAATAATATAATAATAATAATAATAATAATAATAATAATAATAATAATAATAATAATAATAAAAATAATAAAATAATAATAATAATAATAATAATAATAATAATAATAATAATAATAATAATAATAATAATAATAATAATAATAATAAATAAATAAATAAAATTATAATTCATAATCAAAAACATAAACAACAATTTATTTTTAGTGAATAAACAATACTTTATATTCAAAAAAATTATATAACTTATAAATATAAATATATAAAAAATAAATATGACATGAATATTTCGAATAAAAAAATAACATTATATATAAAAATATTTAAAATAACAAATTCTGATATTTTATCTGTTTTATATTTATTTTTTAATAATTTACAAAAAAAAAAAATAAAAAAAAAAGTAAAATATACCTAACATATTTTGGAAACTAAAATAATAAAAACATTGTTTATTTTATATTATTTTTTTTTTTTAAGAATAAAAAATTAATTATTTTCAATTTTTTTTAATCTTAATAATATATTAAAAAGTTTTCAAATTTTGTTCTCAATTTTGTTTTTTTGTTTTTGTTACAGGGTGTGTGTGTGTTTGCGAAAGACAAAACATTAAATAGACAAAATGTTGATGATTAAGAGAATGTGTGTTGGGAAAATGTTGTAAAATCAAAGTGGTATGTATTTTGAATATTTAAATAAAAATAAAAATAAAATATTTTTATTTTGTGTATACCATGATAATGTTTATGAAATGTAAACGAAGACATTGAATAAAAGCTCCACTGTTAGTGACACACATACATAAATATAAAAATCGTTGTGCATATCAACAAATATTTTAACGATTTTTTTTATGGCCTTTGAATTTCTAGATTTTTTCTTTGGCAATGAAGACATTCTTTATTTTTAAAACTATTTTTAAAACAAATATATATTAAAATTTAAAATTAAAAAAAATTAATTTTAGCCTTGATTAATTTTAAGCTCTGAACTAAAAATTAGTTAACAAATATTACTAAGGGACTATTTTTGCATGACGATGACAAAAGAAAAACGTCATTCCAAAGTTTTTTTTTTTTAATTTTAAGTAAAAATAAAAAATATAAAAAAATTATATGGAATGTTTTTTTTTCTTTCGAATTCCATTTCGTATTGTAATACAGAAACAGACCCTAAGCAAAAAAAATATTTTAACAAATTTTTTATTTTTTTTTTTTAAATTGAATTCCTCCTATTCCAGTTACAATTAAAAAAAATAAAATAAAATAAATAAAAAAAACCATCATTATACAGTAAGAAAGAATAAATATTTAGAGGTGTAACAGCAAGTGAGAAATATATTCTCAAAACACACGGCTAAAGATATGGGGTGACACTCTTAAAAAAAAAAAACACCCTACAATTATAGCTCCAATATACTCTGAAAATTTACTCGAAAATTTTTGATTTCATATATTTATAACATCTTAAATATGTATATATTCGCTATAGGAAAAAAAACCTGCTAAAATTGAGTTGAGAGGCAGATTTTTAACGTTTATAAAAAAATTCTGTTCGACTTGACTAAAAAACCAAGTGCTATATGTTTTTTTTTTTTTAATTTGAATCAAACTAAAAAAACATAAAAAAAATTATTTGGAATGTTTTTTTTTCTTCCGAATTTCCTCCCAAATCGTAATACAGAAACAGGTCCTAAGAAAAAAATATTTTAACAATATTTTTATTTTTTTAGGAATTGAATTTATTAAACAAAAAATTAAATAAAAAAAATAACATCACTATTTAGTAAGAAAGAATAAATATTTAGAGGTGTAATAGCAAGTGAAAAATATATTTTCAGAACACACGGTTAAAGATATGACTTGACACACTTTGAAAAAAAAAAAAACACCCTACGATAACCTAAAACAATATTTTTGAAGCTACACAATTATACCTCCAATATACTCTGAAAATTTACTCGAAAATTTTAGATTTCATATATTTATAACATCATAAATATTTACTATTATAGGAGAAAAAATACTCTGCTCAAAAGTACACTTCCAAATATATGACCTACCACTCCACATCAAAGTTGAGTGGCAGATTCTAAAGGTTTATAAAAAAAATCTGTTCGACTTGACTAAATAACCAACTGCTATAGGGTAATACATGGCAATTGACAGTTAACAAGTCGTATTTTATATTTTTATTAAATATCATTTTTTTTAGTTTTGCATTTCGTTTTGAAAAATAGCAAAACGCTTAGTGTAGAAGTGTAAAAATACATAATTTTTTTTTTTTTATTTTAAATTAAAAAAATTTTTAAATTAAAATTTAAATTAAATTTTTAAATTAAAAAAAATATAATTTTTTTCTTTGGAAA